GGGTTCATCTGTCCTGGATTCCTTGTGTTTCCAGCTCTGATCTGTACCAGTGTACATCTTCTGATCTAGCTGGATTTGTAAGGTAGAATTGGGATCATGATAGTGGGGGGAAGGAAGCATTTAAGAACTAGAGGAAAGTTGTGTGTTTCATCATTGCTACACTGCTCTCCACTCCCCTCCCTGCCCACACCTCTCCCATGTCCTCATGGAACCATTGGTCCTGTTGTTTTTTCCTCCAGATTGTTTTTCCTGACTATCTTAACTAGATAGACATGCAGAGATTAAAAAATTGCACAAAAACAAGACAGAGCAAAACAAAGCAACAAAAGAAAACAAAACAACAAAAAACCAATGACAAAGAAAAGCCTGTAAATAGTTCAAGTTCTGTTTAGGAGTGTTTTCCAGTAGAGTCTGATGGGGTGCCACACCCTGGCCCCAAAGTCTATTTTTGGTATTCCCTTGGGACTCCCTTGCCCTGCTCCCCTTGCTGTTCTGTTGCACGCCCTTAGTGTCTGCATCGGTGTGGTGGGGTCAGATCGGGCGCAATTCCCACAATGTCTACAGTGTTGTCCCCTGTAGGGCGATGGGTTAGTGAGGGATGTCGCGTCTCATAGTGGGGCCGGCCATATGGATCCTCTCTGTGCATTGGCTGCTCTGAGCAGGGATATGGTCCTCAAGGCTTGGCGGGCCAGGATGCGCTCCACTCTCTTCCTTCCACTTCATGTACTCCCAAGTGCTCTAATCAGACATGTCCCTCTCCCTGAGCTGCAGCTTCAGTGCTGTCCTCTGAAGTAAATTCTTCTCTGGGGAGGGGGGACTGTCCACATAATTGGGATTGGGGCCGGCCCCTCAGACCTCTCCACTGTTTCCCTGTTTCATGCCAGCAAGTTGCATTCACATCTTGGAGCACCGGGTTGAAGTCTGGTCCCTCTTTCCCTGTGGAGATATAAACAATACCCTCCCCTTGGGTGGGTTAGTGCCCTGTGCCCCCACTACCCATTTCTATTTTTTCCCCACTACTCTTTAGTTTGCTACCACATGTATCCCTGGATTTGATCTGGCCACACTACCTGGATCTCACCCCAGGAATGTTTGTATACAGTAGCTTTTTTCCTATGCCCGCTTTGCTTTTTTTTTTTAAAGCTTACTTCAGCGGGCTCATGTTGTACTTGTCCTTTTGTGCTTGGTTTACTTCGGTTGGCATGGTTTCCTCTCCAAGATGTGAATGCAACATACCGGCATGAAGCAAGTTGTATCTTTTGAAGGGTAAAATTTACCCTAATGGAAAAAATTGCAGCTACAATCCAAAGAGGTATCATATGTGGTATGAAAACTTCAGAAACATTACGATACCTCTTTGGTTCCTCTTCTACAATACCATATTGCTGTGCAGTCAGGTCTGACTCAGCTAAGAGTACAACTGTGCACCATAGCTTCCAAGGGTGGATTTTGTGGAAGATCACCAGGGCAGGGTTGTTGGGTTTTTTCCCTGAAGTGCCTCTGGGTGAACTGAAACCTACAATCTTTCCATTGCCAGCTGGAACACCTTAACTATTGGCACCACCCAGGGACTCTTCCCTGTTTCCTAGTAATGTCTTGTCCACTCTATTCTCTCTGAGTTGAAGTTCAGTACCACAAATGTAGTAATTTCCTAGTTTTCATCAGATTTTTCTTGTAATCTTGTTTTCAGGATGTTTTAAACAATTCCACAACTATTATTTTAAGTTTATGTTTACAAATCACAGTACAGCCCATATTCAATAAGGTAACAGTTCTTACACTTTTTTTTAAATTAGAATCTATTTCAGATTTTAACAGCAACATTTTCCAAGAAAACAACGGTACAAATCCAGGCTCTTGCAATTCAGGAGTCGGAACTTACATCAATAGACAATAGGCTTATAATTTATGGGCTTAGTATTTTAAAATTCTAGGTTAAATATATTTAACATTTTGAATAAGTTTGGTTGTTTGTTTCCTAATGACTGATGAATCAAGATTAAAATATTTACAAAGGAGAGAATTTTTGGTTTTGTCTTTAGCTAATCTTAAAGCCATGTGGGATATATACATGTTGCAACTAAAGTACATCGATATTGTCAGAGTCATATGTTCATATCCAGTATTAACCAGTAAATATAATAACACATTAATATCCATACTTAAGGAATATTCATACTTGAGGGTAGAGTTTCATTTTTTAGGATTATTGGATATAAAGGAAAATACATAAAAATAGAGCCGTATTTTCTAGTTCCATTGATTTAAAATGAACAGATCCTCACATTCAGGTAGGTCATTTTTAAGATGCTGTCAGTGACTATGACCAATACACGCAACATAGCTGCATACACGTACTAACCAGTCACTTTCAGCATGCACAACAAGCACGTACAAAATCCAACTACTGCAATTCACAATAATGACCTGTTCGTTTTTAGTGCGAAGGCTTTGTCAAAGACTTTGAAAAACATTTCAAAACTTCAAATCATTACAGATTTGTATACTTATAACTATATTTGAACATATGTACAATTAGAAATGATACAAATGGGAAGAGATAAAATGCAATTATGGCCATGTAATTCTTAATCCAAAAGGTAAGCATTAAAATACATTTCACTTGTGAGTTATGATGTGTGTGTTTTACTTTATTCAAGTAGGCTTTCGACTGTAATACATGATAATGAAAAACTGACGTGACAATGAATTGTTATCTGTTGTTTGGTGTGGCCTCCTTGACTCTCGGGTGATTGCTCAGGATCTGACACCGACACCCAACACACAGGCTTTCCCCAGACAATGGATGAGTCCTAGACGCCACTGTCCCCATCTGTCTTCAGAGGCTGAGTGCCACTGTCTCCCACGTGTACCTTCATTATTATGAACGCCCCACTCTAACATTCAACCTTTGTCAGGATATTAACAAAATCAAAATTCAGTTTATATTTTTCCACCAAGATAGCTATTAAGTAAAACTTATACCTTAATCTCTCATTTTTCTCTACATTTTGAAGGATTTATATAAGTCCTAGGGATAGAGTAATAACACAAAATCTGTAAAGTACCTTATCATTAGGTATATATAACATATTGAAAATCGCTAAGAAACTCAAAATGATAATTTTCCTGGGATAGCAATTCTCCACTAAAAATTATCATTTAAATAGAAGATAATATTTTAATACATGGAAATACAGTACCTGGTTTGGCATAAAATAATTGTGAGAGCTTCTCTCACTAAAGTGCTTAGTTTTCTCATTCTTCTACCATATGAATTAATTTGTCAAAGGCACAAAATGTCTTTCTCACTCTTTAAAACAAATTCATTTTTCAAGTTATGGTATTACTCATTTACATGTTACTTAATAGGAAAGCGTTACTATTCTTTTGACTCAGTTTAAAAAAAAAAAGGCTACTTGAAGAATAACATTTAACCTTTATTTTCAAAACTGTGCCATGAACATGCATACAACACTCATTTGATCCCTTACTGTGTTTATGTGCCATGAAGCACTTGTGACAAGAAAAACACATCTTATAAGCATTAGGATAAAAGGAACTAAAATTTTTTCCCAAAAAAGATACAGGTGGGAAAACCAATAAATTAAAAGTCAGAGCTTTCACTTTATAAAAAATAGTTGGAATAATCTTATAAATCTTTAATGCCTACAAAAGCAGGAAATACATTTTAAGTAGTTTTTTAAAACACAGATTAATTCCTTACGGTACGGTGATGGTCAGAAAAATAACAAATAAAAAGGGATTTCAGTAGTCTACATACTCAGCAAATTTCACATAAACTTTACCCAATTTGCAATAGAAAATGAGATTTTAGCCATCAACAAAGTCAGATTAGCTTTTTAGTACCCAAATAGCAAGATCTGTTCCATTTCATATATTCTATGCAAATATTAAAATATACAGTTCAATTGTAGGTACTGAGAACAATACTTGACTGCATGGTTACCACTTCCATGACTACTGCATTGCAGCTTAAAACATGCTTTGGTCAGAAAATTAAAAAGATATAAACCAAATAACAAGGTCAGAAAAGTTACTTTAAGATCCATTTGATGACCTTAGTAAACTTTAAATCCATTGATAAGGCAGCAAAAAATATAATCAAACATTGTTAGAGGTTTCTATTTTAACCATTTGGCATTTTTTATATTAATAATTTCCTTTAAAAATAATCTTTGTACTCCTGTGCAATGATTATCAGGGCTTCCTCTATTAAAACTAATCTACAGTTACCTTTCTAGAATGTCCAACAGTCTATGCATTAATTACTCCTTTTACACTTCCATGAAGATGGTCCTTCATCTTGTAACCTTTTGAATTTTGGACCCAGAAAGAACCACCAACCAAGTCCAATAAGAACACAAATAATGGACTCCACATAGTAACCATCCAGCACCGTAACACACGAACCACCAAGTTTTTTGCAAAGCTGTAACAATGAAAAGACAAAAAAAACTTCATAATTTCAAAATGGAAGTATTCGGCAATTAAGGTGATTCCACTTTGTAATTTAAAGGATTAATCCAAATATATATAAATCACTTTATTGGGGGCTCGTAATCTCTTATCCCAATCCATACATACATCCATTGTGTCAAGCACATTTGGACATTTGTTGCCCTCGTTTTCAAAATATTTGCTTCCAAATATATTTTTTGTGTGATAACATCTAAAATTACAGAATGCCTTCTCCTGTCAAGTGGTAAACATGTTAACATACCCTAATGTACCTACTACTCACTATTCCCACTGCCATGGAGTCGGTTCCAACTCACAGCGTTCCTTGAGCAGCAGGTAGACGTGGCCCTGTGGGTTTCCGAGACAATAACTTTCTACACAGGAGTAGAAGGTCCCGTCTTTTTCTCAGGAAAAGCTGGGGGCTCCGAACTGCTGACCTTGCAAATCACAGCCCAAAGTGTAACCACTACGCCATTAAGGCTACTTTTCTAATGCCACTACCAATGTAATTGACCACTACTTTCAGTTATTACTGTAAATAATACTTTTTTTAAAAACAATACTATTTTTAAGACCCACCTTCCATATTTGGAAATGTGAAGAAATTCCCTATCAATGGACTCCTGAAGTAAACTATTATTATTCTGAAATAATTTGTCAACAAAGCACTCACAACTGTTTTCACTGAAATTGCTACATGAACAGCCTGTTTCTTTCATTGTACAATTTAGCTATTAATCTTACATATATATATTCAGGGCCTATGATGTAAAACAGTGATTTCTTGAGTTGGGAGAGAGATTGCCCTACACACTTTGCTAAGAAGCACCTTCAAGTGATTTGAGTGTGTCATACTTCTCAGTTTTGATAGGAAGCGTATCCCTCCAAAATGCACACTTGTATAATAAGAACTATGTAGAAATAGGGGTAAATATGACTTGAAATAAGTAAAGGGTATATGTTACTGCTAGAAGCAAAGTGAATCTTAGAAGCTCAATATTAGATTAAATGAATACATACTTACCTCAACAGCATCAGGTGTTCGACAGTTCTGGTTTGATGCTCCTACACACTCTTTCACTGTGAGGGGATCCACTAGCCAAAGAGCTACTGTGGAAGGCCAGTTTCCTCCCAGATTGGAAACGGTATTCAAGAGTGTCATGTATGTGCCTCCAATAAGTGGATCACTGACCTTGGCATTGAAAGCCATTATAGATACATACATGCTGTACAATGTAACCTATGGTAAAAATAGAAAACATCTTCAGTATACGGTAGTATTTTTTTCTCTACAGAGTTAAGGGTTAAGATTTTAAAACTTGAAAATCATTTTTTTATGATCCTTATTTAAATCAACAAACATTTCCTAAGCACTTATTATAAGCCAGACTATAAGTCAGTTCATGATAATACAAAGACAGACGTAGTCTCTGTTTGTGTCCTTGAAGAAATTTATTCTAGGTTGGGAAAACAGATATAATAATGATGAAATGTGGCAAGTTGAGATAGTTTATTGTGCCAGCCTGGCCGATAAACACAAGTGGGATTAACTGAAGGGTGGAGAGATAAATGGCTCGCTGATCCTCGCCTTCCTTGTCTCTTGCTCTTTGATCATCGGACCAGTGTGCGGCTGCCTTGCTTGTTCTGTGCCTCAATTTACAGGCTACACTACCTGTGGGACGCCTAGCCTGTGAACTGTGTTGCTGTAAGTTGAGGTCCCTTTAAGACATCTCTGGAGCTGGGGACTGGCAGTTGGTGACCTGTCTTGTGATTGGCTGCTGTGCTGACATAGCCTAGCTCTCTCTACAAATAAAGGAAGATCTGGCAGCAGACTAGACTTAAAAGGACTGCTAGTGTCTCAGAACTCTCTCTCACGGGAGTGAGTTGCACTGAGCCATTTGTACTGCTTTATAATTTAACTGTTCATTTCTTGTATTATATATCTATCTGTATATAATTTAACAGTTCATTTCTTGTGTTATATATCTAATTATCTTTATAAATAAATATATTAAATTATCAGAAATTTGCTTTTATCTCTCTAGAGAACCCTGTCTAACACACAAATACTATACTACTTACTCATGCCACTAGGGCATAAATAAATGAGAAATTACTTCTATCAAAAGTAATCAAGGAAGGCTCAGCAGAGAAAGATGGCACTGAAAGATGTATGTAGAAATAAGAAAAAAGCATAATTTGCACTTAATTATATATTACATATATGTATGTATATGCATATTATACATATATGCTAAATGTATCTATGATATACGAGGGTCTGTAAGAAGTTCATGGAAAAATGGAATTAAAAGATAAAGGAATTTTTTCTCATTAACCTTTTGAAGTACCCTCTATAAACCACTAAAATTTTCGAAGAACATTAACAAATGCATACTTCTAATTTTTTCATATATATGTATGTATATATATGAAAAATATTATTTCAAATTTTTTTTGCAACAAACTGGTGAGTTAACCTCCTTTCAAGGCACAGGGAGATCTGAGCAAATGAATATTCCATTTAGGAAATGGAAAGAAACAAGCCATGTTCCCAGCACAGCATTCCTTAGAATACTGTTCCACAGGGGGTCATCAAAAAAGGAATTCCAAGATCAAGTAAGATGAAAAGAAGCTAAGTGACACAAAGTTAAGCAGGTTCCTTTTATTATAAGCCTCTGAACCCCTTTAAAATGTAGGTCCCCCCAAAAAAAGTGTAGGTTCCTTATGGGGAAAGATTTTCATGTGATTTAATCATTGTTATATTTTAGTATTTAGAATAGTTTCTGACACAGAAGAAGAGTTCACTTAATGTTTGATGAAGGAATGATAAAGATGCTACTTAAAGAGAAGCTGGATTATGCCATACATCTTTTGTCAGTTTTGCTTGACCTACCCATAAAACACCCAATAGTTTGAGCTTCACTGACTACATTTTGAAAAATTCTCTAATGAAGCCTAAAGTCAAACAAATGATTTTTAGATTACACCATCACTTTTCCATTACTTACACAGAGAACAGAGTAGTGACTGGGGTAGCATTTCTTTTAATATTCAATAATTTCTTTTCATATTCAAAACAGAAAAAAAAATGTGTTTGACAACCTGGCTTCCATAAGTTTACAAACTTAGTTAATTAGACCATGATCCACTATGGAATTCTCCTAAATCAGAGATGCAACAAAAGAGTCTTCTAAATAAGGTAGTTATTTTGTCAGGTTTTAATTAAAAACTAAGTGAGAAGTTGGTAAATATAACTTTTAAATTATTTACCCTAGGTTCCACAGGATAATCCAAAGTGAAATATACATTGGCATACCTAAGAGATATTTCAAACTGTTCCAAACCCCCACAATAAAATGAATATCAACATAAAGTAAGCCATACAAACTTTTGGTTTCCTAGTGCACATAGTTATTGTTCACATCGCACTACAGTCTATGAAGTATAACAGCAGTATGAAAAAGTTTGAAATGTCATGAGAATTACCAAACTACGACACAGAGACATGAAGTTAGCACATGCTGTTGAAAACTGGTGCTAAGATGTGCTCACCTCGGGGATGCACAAACCTTGAAATGTCTAAAAAAAAAATCAACAACAACAAAACACAGTTATCTGGGAAGTGCAATAACTCTAAAAACCAAACTCACTGCCACCGAGTCACTGCTGACTCAGACACCCTAGAGGACACGGCGCAACTACTCCTGAAGGTTTCTGAAACCATACCTATTTATAGACTAGAAGGTCTCACCTTTGTCTTGTGGAGTAGCTTGTGGTGTTGAACTGCTAACCTCACAGTTGGCAACTCCATGCATAACCCACTGTGCAACCATGGCTCCAAAGAGCAGTAAAGTGGCACACACTACAAGAAGATATGTCTGAAATTGCATGCGTCCCAAAGGTGACTATTGGGCTTCTGCTCTTTACTTCAGTCACTGTGAGCTCCCCAAACAAAACCTCATTCGACAGTAGCAGCTTAAGGGAGGCTAGTACAAAGTGAGAATCATTTCTTTTATGGGTAAAAAGCAGACTAACAAAAGAGAATAAATACTTCTTAATGGTTTTCAAAATGACCAAAGGTAAGTCATAAAGTTAAATATAGAATCTAAGCTAGAGACCTGGGATCTGTAAACAGTAGAAATCATTATTTTTCAATACTTCAGAGACAGTGCAAGGAATTGTATTAAAAAAAGGACCTACATCAAGGGATGGGCCATGCGTGGGGCTACTTACTTAGCAAGAATGAATGGGCTTTAGGAATTAAACACTCTTTAAATGAAACATAAATGAAAGTAAGAACATGGAGCTCTTTTTGCATGAAATCAATTCATTAAATCAAAAGCCAGAGAAAAATGAATTTGTTTCAAGTTCATGGTTAAATCTTAACATTATCATTACTTTAAGGTAACGATAAAAAATGTCTTCTGTTTTACCTAGAAGAGTTTTATTTCCTGGGAAAAGCACAAGCAGCTTACCTGATGCAGCGCGTAGCTCAGCAGCACAGCAATGTAGTAATACACAGGGAATCCTCCTGGATGGTCTACTTTAGGTGTCCACCAAACCAAGAGAGCATACTCTAATCCAAGCAGTAACCTGTAGAAAAACAAAGAAGATTGGACTTCCATTTGTAGTTAAAAAGGAAAAAGTACAACAATCAGAAATCCCTGTCCCTACCAGGATAGAAAGCAGCAAATATCAAAAATGTGCTCCAAACCAAACCCACTGCCATCAAGTGAATTCCAATTCACAGCAACCCTAGACAGGGTTTCTGAAACTGCCCCTCTTTGTAGGAGGTATACAGCCTCATCTTCCTCTGAAGGAGTGGCTGGTGGGTTTCAATTGCCAGTGTGGCAGTTAGCAGCCTAATGCCTAACCCCCTGTGCCATCAGGGCTCCTTTAAAGCTGCTAAGAAGCTAAAAAGAGAAAAAGATGTGTCCAAATGACACAGAATGTTAAAATGTTTTTCATGTCTTTTCCCATACATTTCTTCTTGTCTTTTCCCATGTTTTCTCACTCTACAGGTTATCAGGAATATTGAGGTATGTTTCTCATTGTAACATTTTAAAAATTAGGAAAGATTTTATTTCACCTTTACCTGTAGGGCATGGCTTTGTAAAATATGTTTAGTGGTTGGGGGCCTGCAGTGTATTTGCTGATTATCAGAGGCAATATTATTTGCAAAGGAACCATTGGAACTGCCAATAAGGCTAAATGTTCTTTGGGAACTCCTTCTTCTACCAATTTCAGTCCTGTTACTGCATCTGCTGCTGAAAAACCAACCTACAATACAAAACAAAAACAAAACATTTTATGATTTAGAAAATATTTTCCTCAAAGCATATAGAAGCTCTTCCAGAACCTCATTTTCCCATCCCATCGCCCCCCAAAGTTTTATAAATCCTAACCGTTACGTTTATGGTTATAATCCTATTTTGTCAAGCGGTGGATCTTGCTATGCTAACAAGACACATTGGTATAAGGAATACCTTGAGTTAATCTCTTTTGAGGTATAAAAGCAAGCCAGAGAGCAGAGACGAGAGATGTCAAGAGATCTCCTAGAAAGCAGGAAGCAGAGACTGAGGAGACAGCGCTCCCTCCAGAGCCAACAGAGAGAGAAAGGGTTCTCCTGACGCCCGTGCTTGAAATTCGGACTTCTAGTCTCCTGGTCTCGGAGAAAATGAAGCCAGCACCTTGTGGTATTTTTAGGTAATAAGAGTCTGGCCCGTGCCGATACAAGTAGATGTTGGCAGGCTACGGTTTTATCTGGTATGATAATCAAGTTACAAAAGTTTTTTGTCCTGTGATCACTAACAACGTTTAGCAAAACCAAAGGAAAATTCAGCACTCTTAGGTACTGTAGATGGTTCTAATGACAACTAAATTTTCTTTCAAACTGTTTCTTTCAAAACAGTTAAATTTTATAATAAATAGTAGTCAAATAGTAGTAGTATGAATGTCTTGATTTGAAGAAAAAAGCCTTCAAAGGATCCCCAATAGATCTGGTTAAAATAAAGCCTCACTGACACACACACACACATTTTTAATGGTCCTGGTTCCACAACACAAATCCCAAAGGTCACCTAGAGTTTTCAAGTGATTCTGAGAAAGCATTACATCTGAGAGCATGAGTAAAATGAAAGGGATGAAAAAGTATAATTATAACAAGATTAATTCTTAAAAACAATGGCAAAGTAATAAATAAAGGCTCAAAATAAAGTGCAATATATATATGTCTGATCCCATAAGTTTTTAATTATAAATAAAAAACAGTAACTTTAAAATAGAGAAGCAAGCATTAACACAGAATAGAATAAAATGGTCATCATGTGGCTCCTGAAAGATTTCCCTGAAGAGGCTACAATATTACTCACGTGATATTTTTGCCATACATGAATAACCTGGACCTAAAGGGAGCCATGGTGGCACAGTGGTAAGATGTTGGGCTTTGATCTGCATGGTCGGCAGTTCAACACCACCAGTAGCTCCGTGGGAGAAAGACTGGGCTTTCTACTCCTATAAATAAGCACAGTCTCAGAAACCTGCAGGGGGTCCCTACGAGTTAGTACTGACTAGATGGAAGCGAGTTAAGATAAACACCAGATGAACCCAAACTGAAGACCATTCTAGAGTATAACTGGCTTGTATTCTTCAAAAACATGAGGGACAAACAAAGAGAAAGAAACTCATGTGTGATCTTGAGTTGGATCCCTGACTAGGAAAAATTAAGTTTATTTAGGAGGTGTTTCACTTCTTAAAGCTTTTCGGTAAGTGTCAAATGGTATCAAATAATAACTTTTTAATAAAAAGAATGATAGATACCATACACTTTAACTTCTTGGATGAAGCTAAAGAGTATATTATACCAACAAAAAAGTAAAGGTCAGAGATATTTCACCTAAACACAGCAAATAATTTTGCTTACATTTCACTCATCCTTTTTGTAAAAAGATATGCAAAAATAGTTAAAACATCTTTTGATTTTTACATATTAAATGATATACAAAAACATCTGCCAACTGATTTCAATATTGACTCTGTTTACTGTGTTCATAATACACCTGTATAATACTCATAGCCAAAATACAAGCCACAAAAATGAACAAACTAATTTACAATTTATGAACTATACTGCCATAAATATGGACAAACCAAAAACCAATGCTGAGCAAAAGAACTAGACACAAGCGGGCACACTGTCTATTTCATTGATAGAAAAACAGGAAGATGCATCCATCGTGTTAGAAGTTCCGTAGGGAGGGTTACTTCCAAGAACACTGGACTCTTAACTATGCAACTGAGACAGTTTTCGGATCCACTGTTGGGAACAGTATAAATTAGTTTAACTTTTAAAAAAGCAATTTGACCATCCTATTTATTTACTGACTAACTGCTTATGAATCTGTGGAAGGAAGTATCAAAGAAAGACTCAGTTCAACTATGTTCATTAGTATATATTAAAAGTAAAAACCATAAGAAAATTAAATCTAGAACATAAAAATGATAAGAGTGAATGAAGGGAAATTTACACAGTGGTTTTAGATAGCTGTTTAGCATCTTAAGGGTCCCCAGTAGTAGCTACCAAAGAAAGGTCAATGGAAGAAAAAAAAAAAAAAAGAAAGGCCAATGGCTCAAACCTACGACTCCACAGGAGACAGATGTCAAAAGCTGCTTCTGACAAATGATAGCCTTGGAAATCCTACTCTTTCCAATTCGACTTGATGACAAGGGTTTTTTGGTTGTTAGTTTTGGTTATTAAAAAGAATGCTTTCAAATACTATTCAATGATACAAGATATATTTGGAAGATGACAAAAACAAGATATAGTATAATCTATGTTTCAAGTGTGTCTATGTATAAACACATACATATTCAAAAACACACATACATAGTATATACAGATGTATACATAGAAAAATGGTAGTCGGAGGAAATACACAAAAATGCTAATGGTTATTTCTAAGTGATGTAATTAGATAATATATAATCTTCCTTGAGTCTTTCATATTTGTTAAAGTTTCCTTCCCCTAGCATTTGTTGTTAGAGGTCAGCAAATTGGTTGTAACTCCTGATGTCCTTATGTATAACAGAACAAACACAGCCTGGTCCTCTGGGGGTCTTCATGATTTGGGGGATGCTCATCTCAAGGTTGGAGGTTCAAATCCAACTCAAAGGGAGAAAGACAAGGCTGCCGATTCTGTAAAGATTTTGTTTCAGAGACCCTTTACAGGGTTATGAGTTGGAATCAACTTTATTTTCTCAAGGTTTTTATTTCTATTTGAAGTATCAATGTTGTTAAATAAATAAAATTTCACTTATAAGAACTATTTCATAGTGATCTAATTCTTTTTTTTTGTGTGTGATCTAATTCTTATCACAATCCCAAGACAATCTATTTTGAAACTATATTCTATATCATCACACTGCATTGTAAATAGTTAACAAATGAAAATACTGCCTTTTCATTTTTAAATTCTAATGGTGACAGAAAAGGACTTATGTTATGAGGAGACCATGAAAGCTCAATGGTAGATTTGCTTTATAAATCTCTTACCTTTGCAGTTAGAATGAGCAGGCAAAATGTCAAAACAGCTGGCATTTTTATAATTGCAAAAAGCAACTTGTAGGTATCTGTAATTCCTTGTGTTTCTTCTTTTACTACTGATACGTCTTTATTTTCTTTTTTCAGAAGGGCAACTAACGTTGTTGTTATTAAAAATATAGCTCCCCAGAAAAAAAGGAAATCTGAAATCAAGAATGTTTTAAATTTTAATTAACTTTTGTAATGACGCATCTAACACTAAATAATTCTATATTCAACTTTTCCTCCACTAACATCTCTTACCAAAAAAAATCAACATTTATGTACTAACCATGTTCAAGGTACTGTCTCAGCACAGAGAATAAACACAACTATACAGTCATAGTGGTAGGTACAGTTAATGTGCTTGCTGCTAACCAGGGCTTTGAACCAGTAGGAACTGGGTTAGTCATTGCCCATGAAGTAGAATCAGAGTAGATCCTAACTTTTAAAGTTTAGATGAAGCAGAGCAGTAACTGGATTGGGGAAAATGGCAGGCATGCGCCTTGGAACGGGAGACTTGAAGGATCGTAGTGAGCCCTTTGAGCAGCCTGACATAAGAGACTGGATCCTTGCTAGCACCGTAGAGTGACTCACTCAAAGAAGCACCATTGACTAGGGCCATTTCCAACGCTACCAGTCAAGAGTTTGGTTGTTATGCACTGTACATGCTGCCCCTGTTTTCTAAGAAGGAGATTAAAGTCTCTAACAGGATGTCAAACCATCATTTTCCCCATTCCAGCTCACCATGTTTTACAATTTCAGATCTGTCACTTTGTCAGAACTAGGAATAACTGGTTTGAAGATGTCCTGCTAACTGAAAGGTTGGAGGCTTGAATCCATCTATAGGCACCTCAGACGTAAGGCCTGGCAATCTATTTCAGAAAAACCTGCCATCAAAAACCTTGAGGAGCACTGTGCTCTGCTGTGACACACATGGAGTCATCAGAGTCAGAACTGACTTAGTAGCAACATGTTCTTAATGATCTGTACCACAGTTTTCAATATTGTGACATAGAAGCAATTTCCTCATATTGTTAAGTTCAGAATGAGACACAAGACAAGTACTGTTTGGGTTGTTTCAGTAAACGAATGGTAGGCGAACAACTGACTCTAAGATTCTGCATAACTACTAAGAAGAATGGTAGTAGGCAGTAAATGCATACCATGTGCCACAAATATGCTAGACAGATTACTTTTTTTAAACAGGTAAGTGGTTTATTAAAGAATAAGCTACAACTCAAAATCAAGAAGCTCCACACTCCTATGATGGCATGTGCTGGAATGCTTCCCTTCTTTGGCATATGCTAAGCATTTTTCAAATATTACCTCTTTTACTACATCAGCCCAATATATTAGCTATTGCTAGATCCAATTGTCACATGAATATACTGAGGCTTAGTGCAGTTATGCTTTCTGCAGTTACGTTCTAAATCATTTAACAATTGTGGTTTGACTCCTTCATAGCTAACATCAAAACTTGTTCACTCTCTAGAATTGCATGTCAGTTTGCCACCACCGGGTTTTTGGATAACTCTGTCTCAGTTTCTTCATCTGTAAAAGAAGACTTGATAGACGACCCCTAGGGTGCTTCCTGGATATAACATTCTAAAACAGTACTCTGCTGAACAAGTCTTACTTTTAGTTTATTGCTCATGTGTAGGGAGTAACCTTTTCTCAACACAACAGAGCCTTCCTGAGTAGGGGTTTCCCTTCTGGATTTGGTTTTGCTCCTGCTGCTGCGCCCTTGAACGTGATCACTATAGCTTCCTGAACTTCCTTCAGGAAGGAGAAAGGCAGCACTCTGTTTATACCAGGTGCACAGTAAGTTCATCCCAGCATGTGTGTGCTCACTCCTCCCATGTTCTCATTAGACTCTCGAAACACATGAGAGGAACCCCAGGCATCACTATATGCAGAGAAGAAAAGACACTTAGCATGATAAATGTGTGCCAAGGTCAAATTACTAAGAAGTAGAGGCAGAAAGTGAACCAAAATCTCCTGAATTTGAGTCTCACGCACGTTTCATGAGTTGGAAAAATACACAAGGGAGTGGGGTTTTGTTTTTTTGACATGAAGATTAAACCATAAAACTAGTTGAAGAATAATTTTTAATAAGAATTTTTTTGAATCAGTGTAATTACATAGTCCCTGTTTAGAATAATTTCCCTCAAAGCAAAGCTTGCTGTTCAAACTATGCAAATTAAAGAAGCTAACTGCTTTAAACATACAGATCTCCTCTGCTATCTGAAACTAGAGCATTCCTATGAAATCTTTCATACACTGAAATGGTACACAGGGAAGAAGCACTTACCATTAATCTATACGGGAAAATCGGGAATATTCCCAGACCTGAAACATAACCACATTATACCATACAGTCTAAATGACACTACCACATATGTTCCAAAGCACAGTTCAAAGCTGTGCTCTGGCAGCATGATGCTGAGAAGCTGCATGTATCTCGCTGGGAAGGAGCCTGGTAACACCAGGGACATGTACACATGGAGAATTGCGTTCTACGGTGGACCCTTTTCTCCACCATGAGAAATCTAGAATTAATTTTAGAAAATAGAAAGGACACCATGAATGTTATTAAGTGCAAAGGTATCCACTAAAAAGATGCACTAGTGTATCTTAAGGTACTGAAATAGTCTTATGATTAATCATTAAAATAGCAATCTCTACTTATGCTAATAGAGTACATGGTTCAAAAGAAATGAACAATTTGACTATTCTTATAAGTGATGTTAATATCAATCAATTTTGCATTCATTTCATCTGTAAAATGCAACAAATGAATTAGGAAGATCATCTACTCTCTTGACTTTTTGTTCTTTATTTTGTTTAAATCAGCTGTTTAGGAAGGCCTGAAAGAAATTTACTTTTACTGTCACCAGAACTTCTAATTAATGGCATCTACATAAACAACTGAAAATTAAAATTCTTCAATAAACCAGTATGTGTTTGATTTCTCTAAGCAAAATAATAATTTGCTTCATATATTCTTCCAGCTACAATGAACAAAATCTTCATCTCTTGCTACCAATAGTAAGAAAGAATAAGAACAAGCTAAACAAGCTTTAGCTTCTAATTACTGTTTCCAGATCAGAGTATTTCTAATTTCTTTGTAATTTGAGGATAAGGTAACAATCCTCTGGAAAGCAGTCAGTAGTGACAAAGCCCTAAGTCAAAGGTTAACTTTACCTCACACCTGGACACAAAGCCGAGAAAGCAGCTTCTAGTATGGTCTAAAACACAAAAAAACCACTGCCACAGTCTCCATTCTGACCCATTGGGACCCTATCCAGGGTTTCCGTGCTGTACTCTTTACAGGAGCAGCCAGCCTCATCTTTCTCTTGCAGAGAAGTTGGTGGGTTTGAAGTGCCAATCTTGCAAGTCAGCAGCCCAAGGCTTACCACACAGCACCAGCAGGGCTTCCAGTTTGGGCAGGGAAGTGGACGGCAACCCTCAGAAACCCTTACGGGCGCACGGACAGCAGGACATAGAAATGACTAAGTATGAATTAATGGTCCTGTTCTCTTCTCACTTCAAATCATACGTGACTTCACAAATCCTGTTTTTACTATTATCACTGCAAGTTTAATTAAATCCTTATTTATAGTATCAGAGTTTTCCTTAAGCAAAACTTCCTTTTTCTCTAATTGAGTCCTATAAGTACATCTATATCTATAAACTACTTTATACCTCTAGTATCTTTAGCACTCTTCTCCAGTGTCAGACTAGCCAGGTCTCCACCTCTAAATCCAAATACTGTATCCTGTTTCTCGTCCAATAGCTTCTTCTAATTATGATTGTTACCAATATTTCTAAAGCAGAAGCTCTCAACTAGCAGTTGACAAGCTGAATCTAGCCTAAAAGCATCTTTCACATAAGCCTATTAAGTGTTTTTAAGGAGCCTTCATGGCACTGGGGACTGTGTTAGACTGCTCACCACAAGGTCATCGGTTCAAACCCCCCAGCTGTTCTGAGAGGCAAAGATGAGGTTATCTGTTCCTGTAAAGAGTTACTATCTCAGATACCCTACGGAGTAGTTCTATTGGTTCCTATAGGGTCACTATAAATAGAAATCAACTCTATGACATTGAGTTTGATTTTTATTTACTACATGTTTTCAAAAATGAGCAAATAAAAGAGGAATCTCAGGTTTTTGGATACTCATAATGTCTAGCAATCCTGGGATCCTATTGCCCCAAGTCAACAATCTCCTGGAGTTAAGGATCCTTTCCTTGTTAGCTAGGCATTGGTTCCTCAGGTTAATGAAGAATGAAAATGTAGGATCATTTAATTTACTAAAATGCACCACTGAAATACAGCAGTCCATTACAGATTGTTTAACAAGTTAGTTAAAAAGTAAGCTATTTCTTAACTGTCCTGGGGGAAAAGTTCAAATTCTACAAAACTGCTATTCCAAGTAACCAGTAAGTCTAAATAAAGAATCAACACTATTTTAATTCACACGTTGGAGAGCAGTTGTGGGAAGAGAGGAAATAACAGCTCCTGATTTCACAGCAGCATTTCCCGGAATGATGTTTTATCAATCATTCTTATGAGAAAACTCAACTTAGCTAGTTAGTAACTGTTTCTATAGGTTCTTAAAATTTCTCAAGGAAGACTATACTTTCAGGGATCATTTCTTTTTCTTTTTTTTTTTTTCAGGGATCATTTCTATACTTCGTTACTGGAGAAGTTTCTCTGATCCTATAGAGCACCGAAAACCATGAGGAAGAGGTGCAGCATTAAAAAAAAAAAAATTTTTTTTTCTCAAGGAAAACTTCATGTTACGGAATCAATCATCCAAATTTGCTTGACACAATGGATGGATGGATGGATTGTGATAGAGTTGTATGAGCCCCCAATAAAATGATTTTTTTTAAATAGTAACCAATCATCTCATTAGTCATCCTTGGTGATAGGACAACTCCAAAACAAAATGAAAATCAAATACACAAAAAACAAGATGTGCTTTAGATATACCCACAAGGTCTTTCGAGGCAGAGAATTATGCAGAGAATGGCAATGGATCCCAAAACATCCGGAGCAAACCCAGTTACCTGACAAGCAATAAAAACAATTTCAGCCTCAAGCCAACTGAGGAAAAAGCATAACCATTTAGGCAATCGTAGTGGCTGAGAATGTTAGCGAGAGAGAAGAGAAGCCACCACAGGAGGGACCGACACAGTGGCTGCAACCACAGGCCCAAGCACAGCAATGACTGTGCCTCTGAATCCGCGCAGGCGGTTCTGCTGTTTGAGAGGGTCACTCCAGCAGCAGTGGGTTTAGATTTTGGCTTAGAGGAATTAAAATCCTTTTTGCTACCACATTTCTTCAGCACCATTTCTCAAACTCAGTCCTCACAATCACTGCTTCCAGCACTTTGAACTTCATAAAACTGTCCTGTACTTTTTAATACTACTAGGCCTCCGTGCATTTCCACCAGAATACTTGCATTTTGGGAACCTCCATTTCAAGAGATCTGATCATTCAAGAACAGGTCCAATGTTATCCAATGTGATTCAAAGACCAACTCCCACGGGCAGTTAACAGCTGGCAACTCTGAACTCCGTTTCTTGTGAGCCTTAGCCACCCAGCCACTTAGCAGAATCATCAGAAATGTTTGCACAAACTATTTAGTGCCTGTTTCATTCTCCAGAAGACTAGATAGGAACTCTTGAGATGGAAGTCAGGGTTGAAATGGACCAGAAAGCAAAAAGCTAGAATTTTCAATGGGACACTTTTGTGTTAGCTTACTTCTTTTAAATATGCACCTGTGTCTTAGACAAGTGCTGAAGAATCCCAGACTCAAGTTGTTTTCCATTAGAGGCTGGTGTGATTTGATGGGTTGCCTCTGCAGGATGACTGCAAGGAAATAGTGAGTGAAGAGTGCTTTATTGTCGTCACTGGGCTTTGATAACACTTACAATTCAAAGAAGCCCACTTTAGCAGTCCAGAAAACTTACCTCAGCTCTTCTCCCACCAAACGACTCCAGAAATTTAAAGAATGAGCTCTTTCAACGTCACACCCTACGTCATAGGATTCATAAACATCAAACACACTCGACAGCATCGTAAGTTTACATACACTACCTGAAAGAGTAACGATTCCCCTGGCTTGTGGCTGAAACCGCAAATACTTGTTACAAAAGTCGGGAGATTCAAGGGCCAAAAACAAAACGTTGCCCAAAAAGTAGCCCGCAGTTTGGCCGACCGAATTGCAAGTGGACGCGTAGCCCACGTTTTCCCGGGAAAGCATCGTTAATGCCCAACCATCCACTGCGATGTCCTGAGTGGCGGCCAGGAATTCAAACAAAAAGAAAGTCACAGTGAGAGCGACCACGTCGGGGGTTCTGCCATCGACGTTTCCGAGCAGACTGTCCACTTGCGTGGATAAATAGATCATGAAGAGTCCCAAGGTGTACTGCGTAGGGACAAGCCAAGACTTGCGACGACCGAAGCTCCTGAAGTACACCGCGTCGACCAAAGGGGCCCAGAGCAATTTGAGACTGAAGGGCCAGAAGACGAAACTGAAGAATGCTTGGTCCGTATAGCTAACATTTTTGCTCTGCAGAATGAATGGGATGCTTCCCGCCAGGCCCAGTGGAATGCCCTGAAGCACGTAAAGAAAAAGCAGCAGCAGAATGCTGCTTAGTTCGGCACGGCAACCCCGTGGGGCTTTCGAGGCGGCACCGAGGCCGCTAGCCCGCAGAAGAGCTTCCCTGTCCCCTTCTGCCCCCATGGAATCCGGATGATTGTCATCCCAGACGCCTGGGGGCAGAGGACTGCTCTTCATGTCCAGAGAGTGGTTGAAAGTGCCTGGTCGCCGTTGCCGGCTACTGTCCTTGTGGGAGATCGTGGGTGACATATCAGGGAGGATGCAGAGACCTGCTTGTGGGGAGCCTGGGCAGAGCGCTGTGATCAGTCTCAGGAGCAGGGCGTCGGTGATTCAGGGAGGGGGGCAGGAGGCGGGGCTAAAAAGGTCCTTCTTACTGCGGCCTGGGGTGCTGGGACCCCGTCCCCTGGCTGGAGGCCCAGGCGCTGCCCAGGGAGGCACCCCTAGGAGCAGCGCTAAGGAGTTTGAAGTTGTCTTCCGGGCAGCCGCACCCGGCTCGGGGCTGGAAGAGGGGGCCGTGGTGCTGTACTGAAAACGGACCTCTAGCTGCGACTGGACCAAGCCACCGGTTCCTCGAGCCACCGCCAGCTCTGTCAGCCACCAGCCCGGCCGAGAGCACTTTCTCAGCAGGACTCCCGAGGCCCTAGATAACTTCCTGCCGCGCGCTTCAGGAAGCGGTCCTGGCCTCAAATGGGTCCCTTCCCCGCCTCCAAAACCAGCCAATCCGGACTAGCTCCCGGCGCCGAGTTGGGAAAGGACGCTGGGTGGGAACCCACGAGTTGGCCGGCTCGTGCTTCCGGGGACTCGTGAAGCCGGCGCACCGAGCGCTGTGGCCCGGCCGGGCGGGGGCGGCGCGGGCGCGGGCAGCGCAGGCGGCCGTCTGGGAAGCGTGGGCCTCCGCTATTGGCTCCGCGCGGCCACGTGACCCGCGCGTGGCCCGGCTCGCCCCGGCCGCGTGCGCTAGGTAACGCCAGGCGTTGTGTGTGCTGCCGCTGCCTTTGTGAGCCAGCAGAAATGGGAGGAGAGAGGTTTGTGACGTTTCCACCCTTACCCCCCGCCCACCACGACCCAAAGCAAAGTCCCGGCTAAGTGGAGAAGCGGGTCCAGTAAGATGTCCTTATTAAAAGTAGCAGTGGTGAAGAAAAGTAAGGTTGCCCAGTGGGCTTGGGAAAGCGAAGAACGGCCCACTGGAACGACATCCACGCTTAGTTAGTGTCCAGTCAGCACGTCCATCCCTGAGCGGTTTAGACTGACCTGGATTCAAACCCGGGTTCTAACACTCGGGCCTGTACCCAGTAGTGGGGCGCAGCCGTTCAAAGCGCTCTCGCCAAGGGCGGCCAGCGCCCAATGTGGAGATCACCAACGTTCATGCCTTACTCTTAATGTCCACCTGCGCAACCGCGTGTCCTCAGCGCCCGGAGTAATGGCCAGGCCATCCATCGGTATAAAGAATGCTTGTACTACGTATGTGATCATTGCATAGAACTCATACTTTTGATGGAATAGCACATTTTTATTACCTTGCGTTTAGTACGTCAGTCAGCAAGCATATAAGAAAAGTTTTTAAAAGTGCCGAACAACCAGAGAGTGACACCCTGGGATTCGTTTGGGTTTTGTGTTACACCCCAAATTCCCATGAGATAATGCCAGTGAATTATGCAATTCCTGAAAGTGCTCAAAGAACTAAAAAATATTGTCCGGACAATTTCTGTAAGTTCAAGGGAATTGGAAAGGGGGTTTTCAAAGATGAAAATAATTCTTCAGAGAAAAGAAGTCACCTGGTTCTAATCTCTCAAACACAATGACGATTGTTTAATTGCACTACTTCTAAAGGACTAGGCTCCTACTCCTACAGTGAAGAGGTGATTAAGGAGAAATCACACAGCCAATGATGCTGGGGGGTGGGGGGGAGGCCAATCAAGAAGCAATATGGAAATATTTTAAATATTTTTTATTTTTGTCTGGTATTATTTAATATTTTCATTATTTCTAAACTTTTCCATATAAGCTCGTTTTGTATACCTCATATTCTTATTGAAGTATTAACTATAAAATAATAAACTACCTTTAGGTATATCTTTTTTTACACTAAAAATGGTAATTGGGGCAGCAAACCGGTTAAATTACTTTAATCCCCCCACTGCCTGCAACCTTGCACAGATTACTAAACTAAGTTTCCATTTTCATGAATATGAAATATAGACCAATATATACTTCACAGGTAGGTAATTTTGGAGGCTGAATAAAACCTATACGGTCATCCACATGACAGTAAGTCCCCCCCTCCCAGAAAGTATTTATGGCTGCATTCTGTTATTTGATTTTTTTTTCTTCTTTCAACTTTTAAATGTTAAGGTAATAAATAAAATATCTCCCCATTTTTGTGTGTAAGGAGTCTGGGAACAGCTGGGTGGTTCTGTGTCATGAAGTTGTGGTCGTTTGAAGGGTTGCAGGATCCACTTCCAACATGACATTCACATGGCTGTGGGCAAGACATCTTGGCATAGGGAAAATCAATACTAGATATATAATGTTAAACTTAGTTTGTTAAATATCCAAAATGTAAACACCCCCACACCTTTTTAGTACCCACTTTTAGTAAAAAATTCCTTTTAAGCTTAATTGTCAGTGATGACCTAAGTGGGAAGGGTAAACAAGGGCCATGAATAGCTTCAGGGGATGGTGTCTAATGGCCTCTGGAGAAATGGAAGTATAGATTGTTTTCTTTTCTTTTTAAATCATTTTATTGGGGGCTCATGAAACTCATCATAATACATACATATATACATTCATTGTGTCAAGGACATTTGTACATTTGTACCATCATCATCCTCAAAACATTTTCTTTCTACTTAAGCCCTTAGTATCAGCCCCTCAGTTTTTCCCTCCCTGCCTAGTGAACCCTTCATAATTTATAAATTATTATTTTGTCATGTCTTGCACTGTCCAATGTCTCCCTTCACCCACTTTTCTGTTGTCCATCCCCCGGGGAGGGAGTTATATGTAGATCATTGTGGTTGGTTCCCCCTTTCTACTTCCCCTTCCCCTTCCCCTCCTGTTATCACTACTCTCATTATTGGTCCTGAGGGGTTTATCTGTCCTGGATTCAAGGTCTTATCTGTACTAGTGTACATGCTCTGGTCTAGCGGTATAAGTAGTTTTCTAATGATCAGTGCAAATCCTGTTTTCTTACAATATCAGTTGTATCCTAAGATATTGTAAAGACCTGCTAATCTCTTCATGGAATCATTGTAAAAAGCTAAGTTTTTTGTATATTAACTTGCGGAGTCAGGCCTGAAACCGCTCAGAAGAGAAACCTGGCTGTTTTCCTTCTCCGTGTGCTTGCAGGAATAAACTCAGAATTTCTAGAATCAATCTGGTCTCTGATTTTGGCTAATCCAATGCAGGCTTCCCAGACTCCTTCCATTCCTACAACAACCTCAGTTCCATGCCACACGAGCTTCTCTGTTTAGCTCCGTGGATGTTTATGACATGGCAAAAGTTAAACATCTATCATGGTCTGTTCATTAACATAAATCACACAGGCAATTCCCACATTCAATAGGAGAATTAAGTTACATCTTTCTTTTTCCTAAATTTTATTAGTTTTGTTGTGGTTAAGAATATACACAGCAAAACATACATAAATTCACCAGTTTCTCCATGTACAATTCAGCATCCTGATTATATTCTGCAAGTTTTGCAACCCTCCATGCCCCCTTTATCTAAATTAACATAAATTTACTGCCATCCAAATTTCCTGTCTAATCTTTGGAGTTGCTGTTGTCAATTTCATCCCATCATAAAACAATGCTCAAGGCAGATCTTTTTACTACTTAAGCTAAACTGTTCCTCAGTTTTAAGATGACTTCAGGGAATATTTTTGGTTTAAGATTGATACCAAGGGCTCAAGTAGAAATTGCTTTCAAAATGATGATGGCAACATATACAAATGTGCTTGACACAATAGATGAATGTATGGATTGTGATGAGATGTAAGAGCCCCCCCCCAAAGTACTTAATTTAAAAAAGTAATTTTATTAGGGGCTCATACAACTCTTATCACAATCCATACATTCATCAATTGTGTAAACCACATTTGTACATTCATTGCCCTCATCATTCTCAAAACATTTGCTCCCCACCTAAGCCCCTGGCATCAGCTCCTCATTTTTTCCCCTCCCTCCCCGCTCCCCCTTCCCTCATAAACCCTTGATAATTTATAAATTATTATTTTGTCAT